ATGACATGCGAGAGCGTTTCGATTTGGGTTCATCTAAAATACTACTGTACATCGATGATGCCGCCGACGACGACGTTGGAATTAATGAAATGCCAGAGCCCATACCCAAGTTGCGTGCAAACAATTCCACTTGCGATTTGCTCAATTGATTTATCGCTTCTTTCATTTCTTGCTCGTGATCGCGTTGTTTTTCTCTTTGCTCACGCTGTTGTTCACGATGATCGCGTTGTTCTCTTTGTTCGCGACGTTTTGACGAGGATGATGAGCTGCTTTGGGCGGCTGCCATTTGAGCGGCCATTTCAGCAAACAATGCTTGGCTAAGTTCGGGTGATAACAATTGCGATGGATCTTTGTATGATGATTTCGAGCCCGATGACATTGAAGAACCGGCCAATTTGGTGGCATAGGCTTGCATTGCAGCAAGATCTGGTGGTAATCCACTTCGGCTCAATTGTTCCATCAATTTGAGACGCTCTTTTTCTGCCTTATCATTTCGATTTTGACGTTCCTGCCGCTCTTGCCGTTCTTGTCTCTCGTGGCGCTCTCGATCTTGACGCTCCTGTCGCTCTTGGCGTTCCTGGCGTTCCTGGCGCTCTTGCTTAGCTTGTTGTTGTTGCTGTTGCTGCTGTTGGCTTTTGCTTGTGCTACTCGACGACGGACGTCCAGTCAACGCAGATATATCCAAACCAGCTGCACGTGACAACGTTTCCAAGAACTGTGGATCTTGTGGCATTCCAAGCAAACTTTGTAGCTGAGCTGCTTCACGGCTCAATTGGCTTGATGTTGCCGAACTGCTGCGGCCACGACTCGATGGCGATTGCTGCACTTGACTCGTTGGCAATGCACTCGAACTCATTCGCGATGTTGTCGATTTGCTTGAAGATTGTTGACGCGATGAACTTGTGCTTGTCGATGATGTGTTGGTGTTTGATGTGATTCCAGCCGATGAGATTCCATTCAATAAATTGTATTGTTGTGCTAATTGATCGTAGACATACATATTCGAACTCGACGACGAAAACGGATTTAGGCCACCCAAACCCATTGGTGTGTACAATGTATTCGGGAACATGCTAAATGGATTGCTTGGATCCAACGAAAAGCGTCCTAATGCGAGAGAAAAATTCGTTTTTTATTAGATGAAATTGACCAAGAAAAAATTGACAACAAAATCATAGAAAAATAATATATTTTTTTGAGTTAGTTCAAACTTGGTTCAGAACATGCAAGGATAAAATCCAATTAAAGTTTGAAATAAATTTCAAGCACTCACCACTCGATGATGACTTAGACGATTGTTGTTGATTCGACGACGAACTGGATTGTTGCGACTGTTGTTGTTGTGCCGCTACTGAACTTGATTTTCTCTCTTTGCTCGAAGTCGATTGTTGGTTCGTGTTTGTTTTGCCCAAATTGCCTAAGCTCGCAAGGCTGCCCAGATTTCCCAAATTACCGAGATTACCCAAATTCGTTCCGGCCATCGTAGCTGCCATTGCAGCCAAATTTTGTGGATCCAAACCGGCGAAGCCTCCTAATCCAGCCAAATTAGCAATCATATTCATGTTCATGTTGTTCAAATTGCCCAATCCGCTCATGCCGGCCAGATTTGGTAAACCAGCGAATGGCATTGAAAGCAGTGGATTTTTCGGGTCAAAGCCGCCAAGTGACAAACTTGACAGCACACTTGGATTCAAACCAGTGAGATTGGCCAATTGTTGCATTTGCGCTGCAGTTGCTGCATCCAATGCCGTTTGTCGGCCTTTCTTCGATGATGATGATGATGATTGCGACTGTGATTGGCTTGAGTAGTTCGATCCATGTGGATTTGATGCACTCGCCGATGATGCGCTGTGCTGTTGTTGTTGTTGTTGCTGCTGTTGCTGTTGTTGCTGTTGTTTCGATGAGGGCATGCTCATTGACAACGTTTCGCTAGCCTTTGCTGTTGCTTGCAACAATTCAATCCATTTTGGATCGATTTCATAGGCGGGATTTTCAGTGAGCCATTGACTCAAACGTTTCAATTGCGGTGCTTTGCTGCCGCTGATACGTTTACCAGTGAGTTTGTTGATAACAGCCACATTTTCTTCGCCCGTCAAATTCTTCATTGCATTCAAAGCCGCTTGATGGCTCATCGCTTGTTGTTGTTGTTGTTGCTGTTGTTGGTGACTGGAGTTTTGTGAGCTCATCTGCTGTGATTGCTGTGAACCGGTTTGAGTTTGTTGACGTGTCGAACGACGGAAATCACTTGCCGATTGTGCATGCGATGCTTCCGAATGACGCTTCGATTCAAGTTCTAAACTTTGACGATTCGCTTTGGCTTCTTGAGCAGCAGCGTATTTAGCACTGTAAGATGAAAAAAGAATGGAATTAATAAATTTTGCATCAATGTGGAAAAAAATGATTAGGAAATCTAATTTTATCACATACTTTTGCTCAGCAGCTTGTTTCATCTCAGCCAAAATAGCCTCATATGTCTTGCGTTGCACTGAGTTTGGTGGTAATTGCTGCAGTAGTTTCTGTTGTTCTTTGAAGAATGCTTGCGATTGAGCCAAAATTTCCTTAGCCGATGCTCCTTGCATACTACCAAATGGATTGGCGCTTGCACTGCTGCTACTTGCACGAGCACTCGAGCTTGCGCCCGATGTTCCCATCATCATATTTTGTAATGCAGTCAGATTTGTATTGCCTTGATTTGCCGAATTTTTCGACGATCCTATTTCAAATAGAGGGATTGAGAAATTGTTAGATTGATGATGACGATGAAAAATCATTTTTTTTTTCCAAGAAAATATTGATAATTGTCATTTGATACGAAAGTCAATTTTATGTCTTCCCTCATAAAATTCTAAACCAATCAAAAAGTGTTAGTCAAAAGAGTTTCTTACTTGTATTTGAGCCTGGAACACTGGTAACAGTAACGCTGAATGGTTTCTGTGACGATGTTGATTGGCTGCTCAAAGCGGATGGACCACTGGCCGGTGTAACGGACACTGATGGTGGAATTTGTGCCTTTTTCGAAGATGGTGACGAAAGCAATGGATCACTGAATGTTTTCTGTTCTTTTGCTGCTGATAAACCGAAAACAATTTCGTCGAGTTTTCTCTTTCGCTTTTCTTTGCCACTGGCCGGAGGAGGCTCTTCGTTTGGTGTTGGCTGTAAGCAAAAAAAAAATCGTGGAAATTTAGTTAAGTTACTGAATTCATTTTTACTTTCTTCCAAGGTCAATGAAAAAAAAAACTTTGTAAAGATCTAGTTAGATCTCCCCAAGAAAACCAAATCAAACTTACGTAATTGTTTTTCTTCATCAATTTGGTCAACATGTCGTCGAGTTTGCCTTTACCACCACCACCACCGCCACCGAATGGTGATGCGCCGCTTGATTTCTTTGAAATGGAGAAATCTTGTACTTCGCTGAAATCCATGACGCCGCTCTTCATTGACAATCGATCTTTCATTGGTTTGCGACCGGACGAAAGGTCCAAACTGGCTGAAAGATCGATTGGTGTCAATGTGCTTGATGTGCCCGGAATGCGTGCCGACATTGTCGATTTTGTACTGTAATTGGCCGCTTGTTGTTGTTGTTGTTGCTGCTGTTGCTGTTGTTGCTGTTGTTGGTTCGAACCGGATCGGCTCAAATGTGATTGATGTTGATGTGCTGGTGGTGGTTGCATGGCGGATAACGAACGTTTCGCACTCTTTGGAAGAATTTCATCATCCGTCGGCCAGTTCATTGGTTTGCTTTGAACCGGTGTTTGTGGTGCCGAACCGGGCATTGAATCTTGTGAATTATTCAAAAGTGCATGCAATTTTGCACGCTCCGTTTCCACATCGATTGCAATGTGTCGCTTGCGTTTCTTGCCACTTGTCGGCAACACCGGCATTTGCATGTTGGTGTATTTTGTATTCGGCGATGGAATCGGCAATACTGATGCCGGCGATTGCATTTTCTTTGTGGCAGTTAAATCTCCCGAAATCGATAACAAATCTGGTGTTGATCGGCCGACCAAGTCAATGGTTGGTGGCATGTGTTTGACAGTTTCATGCAATGGAACATCCAAATTGATGCCTTGGCAACCTGCATAGGCTGAGTATGATTTATTTACTGGCCATTCCGAATGCTCGATGCAATGGACGATGTGCGAAACACGTTTCTCCAATGCAAAATCGTGGAACCAGCGAATCTTGACTGGATTCTCGAACTTCAATCGAGTTTGTTGCAACAGTTGTGCCAATTGTTGGTTTTGCTTTTCAATGGATGCTTTCTCTTTTTCGTGCATGACTTCGTCATCGTCGGGATCGCCTTTGCCCACGATCATTACATCGTCATCGTCATCAAGAATAGTCACGCAATTCTCATCTTGCGCTTTCTTCTCTTCAACTTTGAGTGGGCTCAAGACTGGCTTCACATCTTCAATTGATTCAACCTTTGATTCAGCTGTTGGCTCTTCCTTTTCAATTAGTTCGCTTTCGGCTTCTTTCTCTTGTTTAATTTCTTCCACAGCGACTGATTCCTCCTTTTCAGTGGCTGGTTGCTCTTTTTCTGTTTCTTTTGGCGATTTCGGTGGAACAACCTCAGCGATTTCGTCTGCAATTTTGACCGAATCCTCGGTTTCCATTGGCTCCTGTGGTTTTGGTGATTTTGGCTCGGCTTCATCAGATTTTTCCTCAACCGTTGGTTCGGCAGTTTCGGTTGTTGCCTCTTCTTTTTCGCTATCAGCAACAGTTTCGGCTTTTTCAACCGATTCTGTCTTTTCAGGCTCTAGTTCAGTTTCTGGTTTCGGCGATGCTGGTTTGACCGTTTCTTGCTCATCTTTTGGAGATTCTTTTTCAACATTTTCAGCTTCAGTGGCTTCGGTGGCCATTTCGATATCGGCCGTTTCTGTGTCGGATTTTTCTTTTTCCTCTTCGACTGTTTGAACTTCAGCCTCTTTTTCAGTAGATTCACTTTCAACTGGTTTTTCTGGTGACTGTGGTGTTTCTGTTTCTGTTTCGGCAGTGTCCATTGGTTCGCTATCATCAGCTTCTTCTTTGTTGTCTTCGTCTATTTTCAATTGCTCTTGTGGCTTTGGTGATTCGACCTCAGCAATTGGTTCTTTGGCCGAATTTTCTTCGGTAGCCTCTTCCTTTTCAACATTTTGAACACTTTCTTCCTTCTTTTCACCGTCTTGCTCTTCCGCAGCAGCTGCTGGTGATTTAACTTCAGCGATTGCCTCATCAGATTTTGGTGTTTCTTCGGTTTCGCTTGGTTTCTCATCGACGGCAGTCATTTCAATATCGGTCTTTTCGGTGCTTGGCTCCTCCTTTTGAACCTCAGATTCAGCGGCTGGTTTTTCTTCCTCAGCTTCTGTGGTTGGTTTTTCAGTTTCAGTTGTTTCGGTCTCTGGTTTAGCCTCTTCTGTTTGCTCTTTTTCCGTTTCTTTCTCTTCACTTGGACCGCTTTCTTCGGGCGTTTCTGGTTTTGCCTCATCGCTTACTGTCTCCGGTTTGGCACTTTCAACTTCAACCACTTTATGCTCTTCTTTGATGCTCTCTTTCGGTGGTGTCGACGGTACAGCTTTGATTGGTTCCGATTTCACCAATAATTTGGCCGCCTCAGCCTGTTGTGCTAGAATCCATTGTTTTTCCAGCATTTCCAGGTAGGCACGTTCGGATGCCGCAAAACTGAACTCGTGATCAATGAAGATATTCTGTTGTGATTGATAAAGACCGTGCTTCATCACAGCGCGAACCAATTCACGATCGTGTTTGCCAGACTCCCACCAGTCGGGTGTGTCCAGATTGTTCTGGCACAAATTCAAGCGTTCGTCATTCAACGCAGTTTTACCAACTTCTTTGAGTTTCGACAACAATTCCAAGCGATCCAATATCAAACGTGCATGATCTTCGCTAATGTCCTCAATGACGCCTTCCAATCCTTTCTCCTCTTCGGTCAGGCGAACATTTGCTTGTCGCTTGCACATCGCAATGAACACTTTGTAGTAGTCACTGAGTGCTTCGTCACTTTTGCGATCCAATTTCGCAATGGCTCGGAAACGTGACCAATCGGGTGTTGGAATGGCCACACCAATTTGCAAATCGACACCATAGCCGGTGAGTACACGCAAAAATTCATACTCCTCACGTTTGTTCCATTTCTTTGGAATAGTTTCCAAGCGAACGCGTTCACGTTCTTTGACCGCCTGTTCGATTTTCTCGCGTTTTTCCATTTTCTATACGAAACAAAGAAAAAGAATTGAATAAGATAAAAATTTGTCATTTTTCTTTGCATTTTTTGCAAAAATGTTGCAGCGAATGAAAAAAAGCATGGAAAATAATTTACAAATATCGGAATGAAAGTGTTATTAGGTTTATAAATCGTGTTGGGATAAATATATATGTTTGTCTGTATTATGTTATTTGTTGAGTAGAGTTATCACTGTGAAAATAAACCACAACATCGACAATAAAAGTAAACACACACACAATTTCGAAATGATTCTGTTTTTTTTGTACAAGTGTGAATGAAAATCGGTAACAGGTAATTGAGAAGAAATGTTAGCAATAAAAAAATGGACAAATTTGGTCTGAAGTGAGTATTATGTTATATTTTTTTTTTAAAGATGCATTTTATGCGACAATTTTGTGTCTGAAAATAAAAATAAAAAGCTGTGTAGATATAGACTCGTGCGCACTTAATCCCACGATAAAATGTGCCAACGAGTCACAATTGGAAGTGTGAAAATATAAACAAATGAAGTATCAATAAGCCATAAGTAAACAATTTTGTTGAAAGATGAGAAAAATGCGCTGCTCAAAAAAGTCTGCTTGTTAATTGGATTGGATTGAAAAAGTTTGATATCCGTTTGCAATTTACAATCAACCTTGTGATATTTTTTTCTCTTTTGTTTTCTTCTTTTTCGATTTTTTCAAGAGTTTTCATTTGAATCAAAACATTTTCTTTTCTGATCAATTTTTTTTTCTCCTTCGATTCGAATTTTTTCATCTTTCAATCTATTCTTCGCCCAATTTCGCAATTTAATTCCCACTAAAGCCAATTTGATATACACATGATGGATATGTTCCCAAATTTCAAGCTTAAAAATAAATTTTAACTATAAATCTAGTGGTCTAATAATATACAAAATGATAGAATGCATGCCGTTCAAAGGGAAGGATCGAAATGCCAACAAAAAATTTCGAAGCAACCAGCCAAAATACAAAGCGATATCAAGCACTGAATGTATAAAAAGTGATGCTAAACAATTTCTTTCTATACAAGCAAAGAAATTTCGAACAAAAAAGCGAAGCAGTTATAAACAAAGATTATGTGTCTTAGCCGAATGATTGAACAATGAGTTTGGAATTATGAATAAAAAATTGTAAGTAATGGAATTTTGTTTTTTTTTTTGATTTGGTATGGAAAGAAAAACAACAACAACAACAACAAAACAAATTGGAAGTAGTGTTTTTTTTAAATTTGATATTTGAGTTTGAATGTGTATGTTCTTGCTTTGGAAATGTAAGTAAAATTATATGTAAAAAAATCAAATGGGGGGATGAGAGATAGAGAGTATCACAAAAAAAATGAAGAATCACTCTTCGGGATGGAATGAGTGATTCGAGTGGTGAGCATAGGCACGTGTTCACGTTTATTGTTTGTTACTAACCAAGTACATGGCCAATTTCTTGAGATCCCAATTTCCCAATTGCAATGTTTCGTTGGGCGGTAGACCTAAGCCGAGACTATTCAGCATTAAGTTTATTTCGGCTGCAGTCGGTTCTTGTTGCATTTGGGATTGTTGTTGGTGTAATTGACCGACGACGACCCGTTGTGTCGTTTGTTGTTGTTGTCCGGACGGCACAATTGGTGGTATTTGCGCCGTCGACGTATTCACTAACTTCGTTTGCGTCGGTAGCCCTTGAATTGGCTGTTGTTGTGGCAATGTTACAAGCGCTTGTAGCTAAAGACACACATGGTATATCAAAAATTATAAAAAAAAACAAATACTGCAACATTCTTTCTCTTGTCACACTTTTTTGCAAGTGATATTCAATTGATATTATTTGTTTTTGACTTAATTTTAATTTAATTTATTCTCATTCTTCTTTTTCTCTTTTTTTTTGGTTTTTGTCTTGTGGTGCGCGCAAGTGATTTCAAAATAAAAATGTAACAAAAAAAATAAAAGTAAATGAAATTTTCCTTTGGAATAATAACACATGCATCGACCAAATCATAAGTTCTAATCATATTCACCCTGTTTTTTTTTCTAAAAATTTACAAGTAAATTTTCTAAACAAACGAACAGATCCAGAAACAATTGCACAAACTCAGAAATAATAATACAGAAACCATACGAACTACTGGTTTGTTTTTGTTTTGCTTTTTGATATGTCTTTTTTTTTGTTGGTCAGGATTGGAAAATACGGATAAAATAATGGTTTTTTGCCAATTTAGAAAAAAGAGACGTAAATCAACGAATAATAAAAAAAACAAATAGGAAAACAGCTGAAATAATATCAAACTAATTTATAAAAAAAAGTGCGTTCCAAATAGATCTGATATACTATATTTTGTGTGATCGTGTTTTGGTGTGTACTTTCGGTGCGAAATATTCTCAGTAAAAATTGTTCATCGATTTGGTTCTTTTTATTTGGTTTTGTCAACTATCATCCCTAACTAAGAGTTCTTTAATAAGATTCTCAAAAGTGCTTCGAGGTAGACAGATTGTGTGAGATAAAATGAAATGGATGGAAATAGTTTACCTTGGCCTTTTGTTGTTGCTTCAATTCCTCCTTTTTGTAGTTGCGCTGGTATGAAGTGATAACGCGTCGCAACCGAGTGTTTAGATCTTGCATTGATGGCCAAATCAGGCTATCGGCTGGAGTTTCACCAGTTACGCTACCAGCCACACTTGGAGCACCTGCTATGCTTTCGACCTCATCATCAGCACCTGGTTTTTTTTCAAAGAAGGAGGAAAGGTATAGCTTAGATTGGTCGAATTCAATTTTCGATGGAATAATTTTATCAACGATTTCTTTTGTTCATTTTACATGTAGAATGGTTTGATTGTCTTGGATTTTTTCAATCAAAATTTTGACAAATAAAATGATTTAAACAATAGAAATTGCATCCTACCTGATGAATTTGGTCGTTCGGCATCAGTTGCCTCAGCTGGCTTATTCTCACCGGTTTCCATCGGTTCTGCAGTGCTTTCGCTTGGTTCCTTGCTTGGTGTTTCTTCGGCTGGGTTTTCACCATCTTTTTCGGTATCGCCCTCTTTCTCAGCCTCCTTCTCGGCCTCCTTCTCACCCTCTTTTTCGGATTCTTTCTCCTTTTCTTTGTCTTTGTCTTTTGTCTCAGATGATTCTTCTTCAGTTTCTTCCACATTTTCAGTTTTTGATGCAGCATCCTCTTCGATTCTGTTATAGAAATTTCGAGTTAGTTTATCGAAATATGAATATAAAGAGAATGCAATACAAAGTTTAGGTTTAGTTTTTAGTTTTTTATTCTCAAATTTTCTAAAAGTCAGATGTTCTAGCGACTTACGGTATTGGTGCTGGTGCCGCAAGTGTATCTTCTGGTCCAATGTGAGAGACAAAGCAAAGGCATGGATCACATCGCATCAAATAGTAGTTCTCACAGCCGTGTTTGAATGTGCCAACCAAAAGACTCTTATCGCAACATTTTGGAACCCACCAGCTCGTCGGAGCTGGATCATTGGTTGGTGGTGGATCCACTGGTAAATCACTGGAGAAATTTTTTCATTAGTATTTCATTTATCATTCAATATTTTAAAATGTTTCATGAATTTCATGAAATATTTTTTTTTTATCGGAAACGCATTTCTTTCCGTTTTGAAATGAAAATGAATAAAAAATACTTACGCCACTTTGCCACCGTCGAGAATTTGTTGGACTTATTACTGAAACCACATTTATTTGGTCACACATTCAGAGCGCCACCGCAAAAACACTCGTTTGTTTATACGAATGAAAAGGAGAAGTGAATAAAATATTCGCAACAAAACACACATTGTGACATTTGCAATTAACATGTTGATAAGCTTTCAGGGAAAAAAGCTCTTCAAAAGCCAAAGCCTTATAAACTTAGCTTCAAAGTCTCTTTTTGTTGTAGATCTGCGATAATTTTAGCATTTTCAAATATATTTTCACATCTTTTTTGTTTATCCTTCCAACTGCGGTATCTCGACCACGAATCACATTTATTTTCCGCGAAAATCCTCGCAAATCCAAAATATGGTGTATCAGAATCAGACTTCATTCTAAAAAAACTCTAGTACGCTCAATGGATGTACGTATAGGTTCTCAGTGTGTGCGTGAATTCGATGTGTCAAAGTGAATGTCATTCACCAAAATAAACTTTAGTCTATCTGAATCCATGGAGTAGAATAGGAGGAAACATTGAAATAATATTCCATGACAATCTAAAAATTGCATAAATTCTTCTCCATTTCCATTTGAATTTAATGCCATTTTGCGCCTAAGGAATAATGGAAAAGGATAGTGACAGCACATTAACTTCATTGGATGAGAATACAGAGAATTTGTGCGATAATCCTACACGTGATACTTTGGCAGAGGGAATAGTCAGCTTATTTCAACCAATTATTGACCAATTGGATGATCGAGTTCGTTCGACACGGTAAGATCCTTCTGTCTGCATTTATCAATTGGAAAAACAAAACACGACCAAATTATATTTAATTCATCCCTACTCCCCAGATTGGCACAGCAAGAACTTTCAGAGCAATTGGATAGTTTAATAGCGCAGTTGCGTTCAATAGAAGACATTCAACAGACCTCACCCGAATTCGACACATACGTGCATAAGTTGATTAACGTAAAGCATAAGGTGACTGTTATCTACAGCATTTTACAAGGAGCTCAGGTAATTTGATGAACAATCTGCCCCCATGGTCATCTTGAAATATTTAATAACACCTCCCCCTTTCAATCAACACAGGATCGTTTGAACCGAATACACAAGCAAGTCGAACGTGAAAAATTGAAACGACGTTCGATACTCGACAGCGAATTGAATAGCCCAAACACACCGACCACGCCAACATTGTGAATTCTTATCTTTTAGATTAAAAAAACCGGAGTGGATCATCATAATGGAAACGCCATACCTAACTCATATAACATCCGACGACTTCAAATATGTTTATGAACCAGCTGAAGATAGTTTTCTATTGCTTGACGCACTCGAGGCAGACTTGCCAAAGCTCAGATCCGATCGGCCAGCGATTTGTACAGAAATTGGTTCGGGCAGTGGTGTCATCATAACAGCCGTAGCGAAAGCACTGCCTGAAACGGCTTGCTTCGCTATTGACTTAAATCCACGCGCTTGTGATGTTACCGAACGAACGGCAACGAAAAATGGAGCCAATTTAAATGTTGTCAACATGAATTTACTGAACGGTTTCCGCTCGAATGTCATCGATGTGTTGATTTTCAATCCACCTTATGTTGTGACACCCGATGAAGAAATCGATTCATATAAATCGCCGAAAGATAATCCCTTCAACGACAATATAATCAAGTCATGGGCAGGAGGCACCGACGGACGATTCATAATGGATCGTGTTTTCGATGCAATGGATAGCATTCTATCAGCGAACGGTGCAGCTTACATTCTGGTCATTGAGGAAAACAAACCAAAAGAAATCATAGCTAATATGAAGACGAAAGGTTTTTGCGGGTCGATTATAGCTGAACGTCGAATACGTGGCGAACATTTGTATGTTATAAGATTTCAAAGGATTTCGCAAACGCTAGATTTATAACTTCATTGAAGTGCAATTGTAATAAACTTGATGGTTTTTCATTCATGCAAATGTGTTTCATTTGATGTCGTATTCCAAATCTAGTACTTCGATGCTTCTTTCAATTAGGGTCAAAATTGACCGAACTGTCAAAACTCGTCGTACATCATCGGTGTAAACAATCAACAGTGATACCGCTTGTAGTTTGGCTCCAATGAAGATTTGTTTGAATAGCAGGATTTTTAGTAATTTTACTTGTTCGATTGTCAAGGATTGAATTAAAGAAACTAAATTGTCAAAGAGAAGCGAACAAATATCTTTGGAAGAATCCATTTGTTGATTCGGTGCTCAATTAAACAAAAACCATAACCTCAAAGAGGACGCTTTTGTAGTTGTGTACATCTCTTGAAATTAAATTCTTCCGAAGTTCTTCAAAAACCAAGTAGAAACAATGGCAAACATCTCAGTAACAACGGCAAGTGAAAACTTAATCAAGGCCATGAATGAACACATCATTCCGAACCAAGAGTATTTGCTTCAGGGATCAATTTTGGATTCAGCCGTCGAACATTTGTTGCATAGGTAGATAAGCTCATTAAGAATATTCTCAATATGATTCTATACAAAAATCCAAATTGAATTTAATCGTTCTTCTTCAATATTTAGATTAAAGGGGCTTTGTGATAATGTGGACTCGGGACCGGAGCAGTTCCAAGATCATGAAATCTGTTTCAGTCTACGCATGCCAAATCAGCCGGTAAGCAATTAGCAATTATTATATTGGTACAGCTTTTGACTTTACCTTTCAACTTCAAATCAACATGACGGCAACACTGATAAATATCAATAACCACCCACTTTTTTTCACTTTTCAGAACCCACTTCAGTTGCGTGTGAGAAAAGCCACAGCTGAAACGGATCAATTTCAGCCGTATCAATTGCGTTACATTGGCCAGCCCGAACTTGGTGACCGAACACGACCAACCGTAGTTCGTTCGAGTATAAATGTCGCTTGTACTCCATCCGTTGTTGAATTTCTCACCGAATTGGGTTGTCGCGTGGATTTTGAGTACATCAACCGTGGTTACATGTTCCGAAAAGGACGAATGAAAATTACCGTTTCGAAGATTTTCAAAGTGACACCACTAAAACCGGGCGAAACATTCAGCGATCCCATCTCTCAGAGTTATTTGGTCGAGCTATCGGTTTTGGCAGCAACTGGCCAAGACGCCATCGGCGAAGATATGCGAGCATTTGCTGAACAACTCAAGCCATTAGTACATTTGGACAAAATCGATTTTAAACGTCTCGGAACTTTACCTTGAACATGCACAACATCGATATATGTATTTTTAGACTGATTTATTTTCCATTGCTTTCAATAAAAATAATTATCTAAGCCGATTTTTGTTGGCGCTTCTTCATTTTGAGGATTAAGACACGAGATTGTTTTGTTCAAATGGTTCTTTGAACGATACTCCAAAATCCAATTTCATACTGATTCAACAAGTGCGTCTAAGGGCCGCATTAAAGTGGAATTTATTTGAAAGAAGAAAAATAATGATAATATCGCGAACAAGGCTGCGTGGCTGTTAAGATTATGTAACGCTATCAGAACATACACGTATATGTCATCTGTTGGTGTAAGATGTGCGTCATCTGTTGGCATGGAGAATACACGCCAATCAGAAATGAGGTGTAAAACCGTCCTTGACGTAATTTAATTGGGTAAACGAATTATCAGACAATTTCGGTCGATCGGTCGGTCGCAATTTCAGTTTTTTATTGCATCGAATTTCCCTCAGCGCGATATCAATTACGATTTGACATAAATTGTCATGCAATAAATGCAATAGCGCACAAGCCGCAATCCACATCAAGAATCAACATGGAAAGCAAACAGAAAAACGCAATAAGGCCAATCAAAGAGAGAAATAAAATAAGAGAGAAAAACGATATATAATTAAAAATGATTTTAAAAAAGTCAACATTGTGTGCGTTTTGTGATGAAAAAAAGGCGGTGCTTTGATAAAGCCCAACAAATCATAAAATTCAATTTCAGTGGGGAGACACGCGACAAAATGAAGACAAACAAGCGAGAAACATGACACAGGTGACGGAGAATTTGGAGAAGGCGAGACTGAATTGACTGAACACATTTCCATAAAATAAAAGAAACAATTCGAAACGTCTTCCAATCATACACATGTAATTCAGAATGCAGAGCACGCGTATCCCATTTGGATGCAAGTGCGAAATAAAAATTGCTCAAATTTTAATTTTCAATGAATATGCCAACAAAAACAAAGTCGGCGAAGCCACATCCAAACAGAATTATCAATTGATTCTCGATGATACCTTATAAGTTGAATGTGCAAACTGATAATATATTAATGATCTAAACCATACGACTGGTGGCCCCCTTTTGCATGTACATTGTACAATGTATACATAACAATGATGATCGAAGCTCAAACAGCGACAATCTTCATTGGAGGAGCTAACGCTAACCGCGTTGATGAACAAATCATTTCGTACATTATTCGAATCGTGTGCGTCTCTTCTTTATTTACAATTGGCTCGAAATGCGCGTGTCTCACCGCAATTGGAAAACAAACGAAACACACACAAAATAATACAAACCAAAGAGAGCAACGTTGTTTTGGTGTTCTGTTTTGATGAGCAAACCAATCGCAATTGCCTACTAGATAAAGATAATATGGTGATATTTACACACGCTCAGTATATTGGAACAAAAGGCGGCGGCGTTGTTTCCATACCTTATACACTGTTTCCATTGTCTCTTTTTTCCCGTTGTTCTCTTCCATCGTTCAATATGCGCACTTTAATCATTGTCTTTGGATAATTCTTTTCATTAATTGCTTTGAAGCGTTCATTTTTCACAATTCAACCCAAGAAAAATGGTGGCACTCTCAATCGAACAAACACTCGCATTTGCACGGTGAAATTTGGAACAATCACAAAGCAAGATTATTTTAAATCAATTAAATTCGTTTCTTTTTTTTTCGTATTGATGATGACGAAGTCGTAGTGAGAGTGAAAAAGAGATTCTTAATGTAAAAAGTTTCGATTACAGGTCGTAAACACTTCGATCTAGTTTCTACATCAGTTGATATCGTTTCGTACATTGAAACCATTTTAAGATCTTGTTATATTAAGATAACAGTCACCAATATCGATTAATTAATTAGAAGGTTCTAGTCTTTGACTGGTTCACACTACGAAATTCGATCGTGTTGCCGATGAAAAGATAATGACCCTATTTTAACACTCCATGCAAATTCGAACGACGACGATGACGACGACTTCATAATTTTACACAATTTATTTTTGTGTACCATTGGAATGCGTCGACTAGCATGTTTTTTTCTTCCATCGCTCACCAGCGATGATTGCGTAGATTAAATATCCGTATTCTAATGAGAAAAAAATCATGCATATTTCCAACATTTTAATGAATTTTTTTCCATTGCCATTCATAATTTTTTTCTTGTTGGAATTTTCTTAGATTTTTCGGCGTTTGCGTAATATAGAAGTCTCCATGGAGTTAATTTTATCACAATGATTTCACCAAAATTTCTCTGATGGCATATATGCAGAACGCCATTCTATACTCCACAAGAGACGCAAGTGTCTCATTCATAATGTATTTTTGAAAATAAAAAGAAACATATGATTAAATTTCCTGTTTCTGTGAAATGTCATTCGACGAAGAAACAAAAATGCGTTGAATTGAAAACACGCGCGGCCTGATTGTATCTGATATATACTTTCGAACGGAGCCGATTGATAAAGGATTTGAAAATATAATAAAAAGAAAGAAAAATAAAAAGAGCGTGAGAGCGCCATGATACGTATCACATTTCATGCATATATCTTCCATATATAGATATGATATGTATATATATATATATATATATTCAAAGGTCGGTCACTCTTATCAAATTCGAATGGAAATATGAACGTTTTTTTATCGCCCCGCAAATGCAAATTACGTATCAAATTGATAAATAACTTATTTCTCTTTAGGCTTTTGTTTTTTTCTCCATCTTTCTTTTCTCTCTCAATCTCGCTCTTTCCCTCTTGTAAAAATCTCTGTTGTTTTGTTTATTGTGTGCAAATGGACTATTTCCATTTTAGAAAGATTGATATGCCAATGATTCTGATCAGTGGAATCGACGAAACGCATTTGAAAGGAAAGTGGCGGCCGTAAAACGGCGTGAGAAAAAAAATGTCACGTATACTTAATTTGGCATACAAATGCATCCAATTTCTAGAGCACGGTTCAATTACTCCATCGAGTTAACGCTTCATATAGTTATTCAATGGACTGATATCAGTCGTTTTATTCAAATGTTCACGGCAGGGATTTATATAAATTAGCAGAAAAAAAATCAAATTGAGATCAACAAGTGGCCGCGTCAGTGCGCCAACCGTGCGCAAACTCTTCGATATCTTGTTAAATTTGAACGATAACTAACTGTATATTGAACAAAAGAAAGAAGAGAAAAAAAACAACGCACACCGAAACCGAATTGATTTGAAGTAAGAAAAAAGGATGAAACAGACGCGACAGTAAAATGATCAAATTTATTGTCATCGCACCCAGCGACACAGACAAAATCTGAATATCACAAGTAAAATCAGCTTTTTGGCGCTTTCAAATCAATAAAAAGAACGAAATGTGGAGAGAGAGAAAAAAATGCCAAAAACTGCAATTAAATATATATATAAAAAAAACGATTTATAAATCTTACGGTTTGTTGTATGTTGTATTTTTTTCTCATTGGGTTGTTTCGTTTCGGATTTTGTTGACAATAAAATTTAGTGATTGCGCTTCACCTTCACCAGCCCGGCACGTTGAAAAAAAATCACTGTTCGATCTTCTTTCTTTGCGCTTTTTTTCTCTCTCACACATTATCATCGGAGTTCATCTTCTTAAATGCTTATAAGTATATGTATGCTGTTGTTATTCACAGCAAAAAAAAATATATTTAAATATCAAAAGATAGTTCGTTGTTCAAAAAGTTGAATGAATGAAATCGTCGAATCACATGAGGAGACAAAGAGAGAGGGCGAGAGAAAGATGAAGAAAAAAGTCCATGTGTCGCAATGTTTCTGGCGTTGTTGCTCTTTATTGCGGGTTTTTATGATTGTTTTCGGGGTTTTGCGTTGATTTTCTACGTAATTTATGTGATTGTGCAAATCACTTTGATGGTGGCCACTTGTTTGCAGTTTTGACTGCACCCATTTTTACTCAAGCACATAAAAAAACAAAAACCATCTATATTTTGGTGCGTCGTTGATAATTTTTTTGTTCGTCTTCTCCGAATGACGCTAGCGCTCAAATTAATTCGGCAATGTGTGAAGCAGAAAAAAACAAGTCATTATGCAAATCCGATGATTCTATGTCACGGGAAAAAATGTTTTCACGTAGTTTACGTTTTATTATGATGGGTAAATTGATTTTCGCATGTCGTGAGAGCCAGGTGGATTTCACGCGTAGCCATTCATGAATTGAATCCATGTGTCGACCATATGCAATTCATTCACTCAGATATTTATAATATATTTTTATTGATTTGGCATAATTTTTCTTCGGTTCGATGCTGACGTTTTTGCTGTGGGCCACAGCCTTTGGTCCATTTTTTTCGCTCACTCTTGAATCGATCAAATGTTAAATGAAGCATTGAATGCAAGATACGTTATTATAAAAAAGCCAAATCTTCTAATGTGTGTATATCTAAAATGCGTTTACTCTTAGTTTTTCCACTGTCTGATGACCCTTAAGACACAAAAAAAATGATTTTCTATCATAATTCATGCGAGTTTTTTTTCTTGTCAATGAGTTGGAAATCCGTTCCGAAACTGGTTAGACGATGCTGATCATCAAGTGTCGGACTGGGCTATTTTCGGATCAATGTTGGTCATTTAAACCGAACCAATTGTTTTTCAACGGTGTTTTTTGTCTCTCTTCCGAAAAAACCTTGATCAAAGAGAAGATGCAACGTGCCATCGAAGTTCGTGTATTTTTTGTGTGAGAGAGATTTAAATGAGAAGACGACGAGTCATTTGGAAAGGATTCATGAACAAAAAACAGAATAGATGACACGTTAAATTTTTCCAGTCCAGCGTTGTGCTGCATGCCTACATTCTATTTTTAGAACGAACACGATGCCGCCGGTTCGTTGCAAACACATACAATA